TTAAAAGCTGTAATTTGTGTAGGCTTTAGAACCAATCAGAAAGCATTTTTTTATAAGCACAAATGTGTCCTTTTTCATACAACTACTGACAGGGGAGTTATTTCCCTTCCCTACCAGTTCAGTAGCTCGCTGTGCAATTCTAAATAGCAATCAAAGGTAGCCATGGGTACAGTTCAACTACCTACCTAACAACACAGGAGCTCGAAAGAATGCCACAACAAAAAAACCATCTTGTCCCTGCACAAAATGCTGAAACATATAAAACGATCCAGGTCACATGACCACCTGACCTGTTAACAACCTCAACTGTCCCTACAGTTTAGTCTTCATGTGTTTGACAATTCTCATAAGCAACAGTGTGGCAAATCCTCTTTAGGCAGTAACGTGGCGGTCTAGATAAAATCATGAAATGCAACAGGCCATGGCGACACAGCCGTTTCAAAGGTGTTCTTTGGACTACAAAAAAAATTGCTGGTTCACTGCAGGGTTAGAAATAGTCCTATAGTCCTGGCCAAACTGCCCAATAGTAAAGGTATCCTAAGGACTAGTAGAATTTTGACATTTTTAAAGGTTTTGCTATATGCTATCATTATGAGGACTAGTGGACTGATGGACTGAAACTGTTAGTTTCTACCGCTGCACTGTGATTTATAGCACATGCACTCAGTATCCAACTCTCCAACAGAAAACTCCATGAGGAGCCATGGTCAGTAAAGGTCAGATAGGTTCTATCAACTAAATTAGTGGGTGTGGTCACAATGTGCGAGATGGTGCATCATGTGCTGAGTGTTCCTCATGCTATCAACCACTAATTTGTCTGGAATAGACTTATATAGATTTACAAGCTACTGAGGTAAAGCTTTAATACTGGCAACTGTAGCATTCATTTACTTAATATGTTCGTTCTCAGATCAGAACATCATGTCAATTTCTTATCACCTGCTTAACAGCTGAAGGTGAGTTAATGCTGTTCCACACAGCAGTCATTAATACGACAGTTATGTCACAGTGGCCGGTAATTAACTGATTCCAGACCAGACAAAGCAGTGGTTGACAGTATGAAGAACGATTGGCATCAGCAGGATATGAATCAGTAATGATTCTGCCGCAAATAGCCATGTTTACAAGTGACAGCTGTATTCCCAAACAGCCTCTTACATGTGACAGTCTTTATTACGAAGGTTCATTCTAATCCTAGTAATTGAATATGATTTAATACGTTGACAATGCATATATCTGTTAGAAGTCATTTCCAGTGTTTGTGGTAGATACACACTCTTGTACAAAAAAAAGCTGGGGCTCGCATTTGAACATCGAAATTGCTGGATATCACCTTCTTATGTGATAATTGACTGATCAATTGAATATCTCAGACCATTGCAAACACTGAGTAAAGCATTCTCTGAAGAAGTAAATACATCATGTCAATCACTGGATTGTCAGGTCCAGACCGCATTATTTACAGACTGCATCATAGAACTTAAATATTACTGAGTGCGGCATTAAACAACAAACAAACAAACATGTACAATTTACTGTAAAAATTATAACATCTTGTGCATTAAACAATTCAGAAGAATAAGCATTGATTTTCCCCGACAAAACTTCATTTCAACCTAGCCATGCGTTTTGCTTAGCAAATATTCCATAAACCATCAAATAAAAGAAGCTTTATCTCCTAAGTATAATGGTATGAAGATTATGAAGATTATGAAGATACTAATGTACAAATACATATGTTGACATGTACATGCATGCCAAACCACTCCCACACATACTTGCAAATATGATAGTAAAATATGGATTCTGTCTGAAATAGTATCTGGTTCTGTTCAAATTCTTTCTCAACACCACCATGACCTATAATAGGAATCAAATGTTACTTCTTTTGAAAAAAAACCCTGTTTTATACACATATAAATCTTTTGCAACCGAATACCCATCAGCCATGAAAGATAAAACAATAGTCATATGAAAAAAAGTGATGTTGTTTAACTTGTTTTGAGTAGTATATAGCACATGTGGGAAATGAAACATAGTTCTTCAAATGGAAATATACTGGCCTGTCGTCTAGGGCTTACTATAAAAATAATTTGCGGTTGGCCGTGGAAGTCATGCGAGATATTAAACATTGACCATGCTGACAAATTAAATTACACATTTATTCACGCATAATATAATGATAATCAGCTGGTAATAGACACAAAACTACATATTCCATATCATCTAAATAAGATGGGTATTTGTAGACAGTAAACACTTTAAAACTACAGCAGAAATGTTGAAAACCTTTAGGTTTACGAAAGACAACGACAGATGAAAAACATGACAAAATACATTTTGGAAAATCATTTGTCCTTGCAATAAATGACCTAAGTACTAAACTGGTCATTCACTGGCATAACATAAGCAGGAAGAAGAAAAGGATAAGCTTAAAACATGTAGTATGGTTGTTATTGGCCTTCTGATTTGATTTTCTGGAGATACTAGAAATATGAAACTTACAATGTCAGTGTCATGAGCTTGGATTAACCTTGTACAGATGACCTATAAACTTCTGTCTTCTAAATGGCACATTGTCTGATACCAATGGACAACAGGTTTACTACAGGTACCAGTACAAAACCCTTTTCTATTCCTTGTGTTAATTTATGATATAAACGATAAACTGAACTGTGCAAAAAAGGTTATTTGCTGACAACAAATACCTGGGCAGCATGTTATCTAATAACAATGAATATATAGACACTACTATGAATAGCAATTTAAACAAAATTAATGAATAGGCTCAAGAGTGGCTAATTCTTTATTATCCCAGCAAAACAGAATCAATTGTTTCTACAAAAGAGCTGCATCGAACTCCGAAATTATTTTTGGATAATGAAAACATCAGAAATGTCAAGACAAATATACCTGGATGTCATAGTGTCATCAGGCAAGTGGTCATGTCATATTGATTCAATTATTAAAAATACAGCAAAGATGATTCATTCAATGAGAAAGCTTTATGCTCAGTCGCAGTGTGTTGGACAAGATTTATATATTGTTTATAAAATTTTGAATATGCATGTGAAGTTTGGGACAGTTGTACAAACAGCAGAGTGACCGATAAGAAAAACTCCAAGTAGAAGCAGCAAGAATTGTAACTGGTTTACCAAGCGATACTTCTGTTAAAACTTAATATTTGGAAACATCCTAGGAGCCCTTATCAGAGGGCAGGAGAAAAAGTAAATTTTATAAAATATATAACAATATGACACCGTCATACCTTAAAGACATTGCACCTCACTCTTCAGGGACAAACTTAACAATGTTAGAACTGTCAGTAATACAACCACGCCTTTATTACGTACAAAGTTATCTGAATCCTTGTTGATACCACCCTCTATTAAATTGTCCAATACATCTCCTATTCAGGAATATGGAAATCTTTTCTTGATGTAAATCCAGTTAAGAACAGATAAATCTACTGCTCACAATATTTATCATGTTTTCTCAGAAAAATTAACATAATACATACAAAATTCAGACATGGTGACAGTGAATAAAAAAATGGTTCATTTAGAAATGTTTTAAACAAGGATCCCAAATGCTGATGTGGCAGTCCATGTGAAAATACAAATATGTTTTTTATTGAAAGTCCATCTTTTCAAATTAGCTAGAAATGAATTGAAGTACTTGCTATTGTCAATTTTGAAAGATACTTGTGATGTAGACACTAGACATCTTTCCCTAATCATATCAATGAAACCAATTTTAGGAATGTACATACATACATAAAGAAAACAAAAAGGTTTGAGTGACCAATGTTAATGTACATAATTATGTTTCTCTATTTCCTTTCTGTCATTTAATGTACTAACTGTAAATAAGCATACATGTAAATATATGGGAAAGGGTGTTCTAAGTTGTGACAACCTGTGCCCAATCCTTTTCATGAGAATAAAAATTGCTTAAACTAAACAAAATTCTGGCCATCATGATTTCAAGAGAAATCTTATTTCAGTTATACTTTACTATGAAATATCATCCAATAAGGAAGTTGAATGTAATACATGGAAAAAATGTTGATTTTTCTTATTTGTTTTTTTAACGATATAAAGAATGTGGCCAAGAAACCTATTTGACACACTGGACTATAAAAAAGTGCTTATAGTTTTACATACACTCTTTTCCAAATCAGCTAAAAATTAAAAAAACAAATCATAGCTTGGTGACTTCGACATATTTTTCAAAGTAAAAGATAACCTTGCAGCATTATCATCTTATAGATATGTGTTGTTTTTTCAGTCACATAAAATACTATTACGGTACAATAATTATTTGTTTAATCTTTTTTTTGCTTCAATCAAGAAAAGAGTAGCAAGAGATTTCATCAAGATAATAAGAACAAAGAATTACTAAACACTTTAACCAAATTATATTTTCATTGGATGGGCTTAACTAAACTTATATGTAACATTTTAACAGTTCTTTTGACAGTAGATTGTCTTGAACACGTTCACAAAATTCTTTGCATAAATTAATAAGCACATGAACCCATTACATAAAGAAGATCAATTACTTCACATCAATTGACAACTGTGAGTAAGGATAGTTTGACATGTGATCAAAGTTCACTTTTACATTTCATGAATTGATTTTCAGAGCAATGAATGGCAACATGCAAATTTAAGGAAACTGGGATGATATTGGCCTAGAATCAGCTGTATTTAAATGGAGCTCAATATTTTTAACTTTTACCTGCACACAAACGCCAATGCACAGAGACAGTGAGAGAGGTATTTGCTCTTTCGTGATGTGGTCCGCCAGTCGGCGAGACTGTGATGCAGCAAGTTTGTTATACAAAGTAATAAACACTCTATTATATTGTTTACATTATCAGGTCAAGGCGATGTAGGTCATTCCGTGTTGCGGGATATGCATGCATACTCAATTAAAATGCATGCATGATGATGCACGAGCGCTACTGCACCCGATATGTTGGTTTGACCTCTTACCTGGTAGTGGCATATTTGTGCCTGGTTGCTGACGAGTCGAGGACAGACACCTGTTTCAAAAAGGGAGTTTCTCTCGCTCCAAAATGCAACGGTTCTGGATCCAATGCAATAGAAAAGGCTTGCAGTTTGTCCTTGAAACTATTCTGCACGTGCAAAACTTTGCAATTTTCGACGAGATTGGTTGCTAATCCTGCAGAAATGCACCCCCAACCGAGACCCGTCACGGGAAGTCGCGCTCCGTACAGCGACCGATACTGTAGGCCTACAAGCTTACGGCAGGGAAAGCCCGCGTGACGTCACACTCTGACTCAAGCTCGAATAGTGACGCCCACGTTACAATCGCTTCATTTATTCGGGATATATAAATTCAATAAAATTCATCTTAACTTACTATGTATTTATAAAGTTGGGACATATGCATCTAAAAGCTGAATACGTTTGGAGCAATATTTAATAAGTAATACTCATATTTAATGCGGAGCTCACGTGATGAATATGGCGGAGAGAGCACCTGACAGCATCTGTTTATATCAACTGTAATTAACTTGTTAGGTGCAGTGCAAGCTTCAGTATAATCATCACACCCAGTGCCATAACCACAGCCTAGAGGTTATCCAGCATGTCAACAGCTCAGTATCACCAGACGTGGCTGGTGGACTTTTTCCACTCGTTTCCACACATAGATTTGACGTTTCAGTATACAAACTCGACTTTCGACCCTGAAAGACCAACATATAGAGAGGTATGGGCTACGATCTATAATGATGAATTTTATTTATTGGCGTAATTATGTTCAGATACGTTTGTTCCTGTATTTGGTGATTTTGTTCTGGAAACGATAGCTCATCTTTATGATCAACCAGCTGTCAACTGATGATAATGCTACAAGTGTTAACAAGTCATTATGATGGTGTGGCCGTAATATTTGTGATCAAATAAGGGTTGTTTTAAATGTGCCATATTATCAGTAGTTAATGAAGACGTTATCACGTCATCAGAATATGCTAAAAGACATTTAACTTAAAATATACAGATGATGAATAATCAAAAGTTTTCAACTGTCACTAGATCTATCTGATATTTTCATGTGGATATCCAGTTAGTGTTTACCTAAAATGATGTTTGCCGAATTATCACTGTTATACATCAGTATGCAAGTTTTAGAAGGGTGCTTATGTTAAATACACTATCGTAATAAGCTGGCTATAAAACATAACAGAGAAATAAATAACTCATCCATATATCATATATGTTGAAACATGATTTTAGGCATGAATTATGTAAAAGGCTGACATTGATCAGTCTGTATAAACAGGCCTACCAAAGAAAACCACCAGAGAGCATGGACAGTAACAAAGCAATTGAATATGTACACACTTAAATAGAAATAGCCACACAAATTACAAACAAGACACAATCCCCTTTTGTATTGTAATGATTAAAACCCACCACATTTTCAATGGAACCAAACACAGTAAATCATGCAGACTGCAACAAACCGAGTTCACACATACACACGTTTTGTTGCGGTCTCCTTTGAGAATGTGGCGGGTTGTAATCATCGATGCACACTTTATGGGAAATGTGTCTTGTTTGTAATTTGTGTGATTATTTCTATTTAGAATAAGCCCAAAGTCACAAGCATAAACTACTACTTTTTCTGTTATAAATAGAAGTATTTAGTCATGCATGAGTGCACTACCTCTGTTTTCAGCCTGTGTTTATTTGGTCCAATTACAGTCAATTATACAAAGCTCATTAGTGTTGATTGGATCAGTGTGAAGTGGTTCTTACAATCTTAGTTAATTCAATGATGTTATTAAGCAGATTAAATGTTACAATGAAGATATAAACACAGACTTATTGTCAGTTATAAACTGCTACCATTACTGGTTATTCTGAAGTCCACACATAATTGAATGTGAGTAACTGCTTTTCAGGTATCTTATGTAATACCTAATGAAGAAAATCTTTGATACAATAATTTCATGAATATGGTTAGAGACTTTGAAATTCACACCAGTCTGCTAGCCCAAGACTGCTCAATTGTACTGAGGACAATTAACTATTCAGTGGTGGCGCTCTGGGCCAAAATGTTTGAGTCTACTAGCTTGAATTTGGCTGAAAGCATCATTTTAATGTTATTTGTAGACTATTACTAGCTTTCTAGACAAGACTTTGCACGAGGTCGGGGACTGTGATGGTAGTCCTCAATGACGAGTAGCATATAAGGTCTATAATTTTTACCATCCTTACTTTGATTTTACTTCAGTTAGTCTAGTTAGTCCAGCTTTAAACTCCCAAGGACCAGTTAAACTATCTTCAGGGTTAGTCTAAAAAAACAGCAATCAATATTTGACCTCAAGTCTGCAGCAAATGACAGTAAACATTTCTAATTTCAATTAAGAATGTTCCCAGTTCCTCAGAACTTGTCATGTTTATGGAAATAAGGAGTCCAAATTTAAACAATATCCCAATTTTATCCCAATTTGCCTGCCAAGGGCACTTTGTTTGGAATCCTCTATAAATCCCTGTGTATCCTGTATGTACTCCGTGGATGACAATTCAAAGTTGGTGTGGAACTTAACATAAACGTTCCTTGTAATATGTCTGTGTGTCCCTTCATTCTATCAGTACATACATTGCACAGGGAAAATTATTTGTTTGTCATGTCACCCGGATTATGATAACATAAAGTTAATTTAAGACACATAAACATAACAATATCAGCTTCAGGGATCCCTTTAACAAAAGACATCATGATAAAAATAGCCTGTCAATTTAGTATGAATTTACCCTGTCCGTTCCTAATTCCATCATTCAGTGATACAACTTGTACTCTACTCAGCTTGTTGCATACCGTGTTGGATACTACTGGTAACAGCTGGTAGCATAAGGACTTCCTTCCTGTGGATATACTCAAGAAAGCTTCTTTCCAAGCTCATTTATTACTCCTAATTTGATTAAATACCGTATTCAACCTAATAAGCAGCCAGGGCGCTCCCAAAATTAGAAATAGGGGGCTCTTATTAGATTATTATTTAATTGCCCATAATTAAGGATGCATATAACACACAAGTGCCTATCATACACGAATAAATAAGTCTTGTGTACATTGATCAATCAGAAGCGGTGCTAATTGGGATTGTTCACTTGCCAATATATTAGCAAATATCACCGTGGGCGCTTATTAGAGCGGGGTGCTTATTACGTCAAATACGGTATATCAAGGACTGTCTTGTATGAAGTCTTTGATAGGCATTTAGAAGTTGGAAGAACATGAATACATGACATTTTTGTATGGATAACAACTTCTTATATTATTAGTAACAAAGAGTAAATCAAGTTGTTTTCCTGAAAAAGTGTCATGTATTCAGAATCTCTCGTATGGTTCTGCAGTTTTGAATGTAGATCTATGCTGAACTTGCGTTCCGTAGAGCACTCTGATTGTAATGCTGTTCTAAACTTGTGAGTGATAAGAGAGAAAGTGATGCTGACATAGCTTCTGAAATAAAGCCATGATGGTGAATGGATATATATTCTAATATAATGAAGATATTTTATACACTGGATAATCCAGGATGAGATGTAACTAGATTTCACTTTTTCTGTTTCAGGCCCTGATATTTTTTGCAGCCCTGCCAGTGTTGTGGTGCATAATCTCCCTGCTTCTCTTCTCCTGCTACTATGTGGTCCAGTGCTGCAAAGACAAACCAAAGAAGCGACGCAAGACAGGCTGTCTGAAGGTCTTCATTGGTCTGATGGTCACACTGGGATGGTATGATGTCCTCGCTTCTGATGAATGTAGTCTCACTATCGCAAGTTAAAATGAAGAAAGAAGGAAAATGAGATAGAATTGTCAGATTGTGGGAAAATTATTCACATGTAAACTCGACATTAGAAATATGAATATGTCTCAATATGAGACAATTAGCAAATTCTATAATATTCGCTTGTCGCCAAATTAGTCATAGTGAATATTGTTCTTCTTATGAACTGGATCTGATGTATTGCAAGGGCACATATTAAATTTTCAAGGGAAGATACTTATGAAACAAAGTTGAGAAATATGGTATTCGACTTAATAAGCACCCCGCTCTAATAAGCGCCTACGGCGATATTTGCTAATATATTAGCAAGTGAACAATCCCAATTAGCACCCCTTCCAATTGATCAATGTACACAAGGCTTATTTATTCGTGTATGATACACACCCGTGTGTTATATGCACCCTTAATTATGGGCAATTTAATTCTGGAAAAATATATCTGTCTATAAACGTTTCAGGCTGTCAGCATAAACCATGAAACTTATCTTTCAACTGGTTTTTTTTTCACCAAAATAATATCCTAATAAGACTTAAGAGCCCCCTATTTCTAATTTTGAGAGCGCCCTGGGCGCCTATTACGTCGAATACGGTAGATTATATTGACTTGTGGATGATAATCTGGTTACAGTGTTGCACTAGCATTTGGTTTCTACGGTAATGAGGAGGCGAATGATGGTGTAGATGACCTTGCCGACTCTCTGGCAGATACGAACCAGACGCTGCAGAATGCTAAACATACAGTGAGTAACAACTCCTCAATCCTCAATGGTGTGTTAGAGTACCCAACATCAAAACAAACAGTCCAACAAACAAACATGGTTCTAAATAAGGTTGGTGGTCGAAATAACACAATAATATTTTTTTTAATGATGCTATCCTATAGTAATCAAATAATCAATATCGCAACCAAACTTAATGTCAGTCATACAGAAAGTCTCTAAATATACCATTTCAGTGTGATTCTTTTCAATGTTTACCCCCAAGTCATGTGACTGACACTGACCTCAAATATTGACATGTCACATGATCTCAGGGATTGGGTCCTCGGGTCTTGTTTGGCATATTAACCTCGTCAAGAGTAATTATTTGCATATTGTTCCACCAAATGCAAACTTACATGTTCACCACATAAAAACTGCATCAATAGGTTAAACTGTATGACAAGCTTCACTAGGACTACACACATGGCAGCATATGCAAATAATCTTTTGAAGAACACATCTTTCACATTCAAATATATTTCTCCCGCCACTGCCAACAATCTTACATTACCATAAACCAAGAAACAATATGAAATGTTTTTGTAACTAATATTCAAAGATATGTGAGTGCCTGTGATCTCTGGATCTCTCGTACTGTTCTCAGTCCTTGGCTGGTGTTTCAGTTGACGGTGCTGGACGACCTGGCGGGCCAGATCTCTAGGCGTGGTGTGCAGGCGCTACAGAATGTCACTGACTCTATAGGGAACGGAACAGTCAGGGTTTCCATTCACCTCTTGATTAAGACCATTATTGACAAATCTGCCGAATTCCGCACGGACATAAAGGTTTTACAAAACGACACAGGTGGCTTTAATCTGCAGAGCATCAAAGAAGAAATTGACATCATAGAATTTTACAGGTTGGTGGATCAAATTAGCTAACTAGTGAGCTTTTACTCGGGGAAGAAGCAGCGCATTCGGCAGAGTTACTGTCCGCTGAATATCCTTACTATGAAATACTGCGTAGATTTCTTTATGGAACAGAAAATATGATATTTTCTTCCAGGGCAGGATGATCTATATTTAAATTGGCGATTGGGTGGATATAAATGTTTTGTTTACATATTAATCGGATGGTAATTTTTTATTTATGAGAAACAAACCAAATGAACATGGACATGAATGAGGTAAGGGACAGCTGGATATTGTTGTTGTTAGAGCATTTGGTCGGCACATGAAAGACTGTGGTTTGATTCCCATCATGGGTACTGTGTGCAGTCCCCAGCTATGATATTTGCTGAAACTGAAGTTGGTGTAAGACTCTGGCATATGTATTCATGTTATACTGTTTGTCTCTTATTTACCCATGATACGTATTGAGGGTTCAGTGGCTCTGAGGCTCCTACGTGGAGGACCTTGGAAGGGAGGCTTTAAACCTCTAGGAAAGTTATTTTGAAGCTGAATATGATTTACTGAGCCTCACTTTAAATCACAACCAACATAAGATGAAATGTATGAAAATGGTGCCCGCAATTCTGTAGAACAAATAACCTTGCGAATGATCCGTTTGTTCAGGTTTTTATTTTATTGTTTTCACTATTTCATTGTGACCAGAATATTGAGAAAATGTTTTTGAACTACATAAAATCTGTCTTTCAATTTCAGATGGCTTGCGACTTTGATTCTGAATACAGTATTTGTGTTCCTGAATCTGTTGTTCCTTATTGGCATTGTGAAGTCATCCAAGTGTGTTCTTGTGACGTATGTATTATAGTTACTTTCTTCTTAATGTTAATACATATGTTTACGGATAATCTTATTTAGGTAATACTAAATTTTGTTTTCATTAAGATATGAGGTTGAAATATGCAAGTGTTAGGTTGTTGTTTGTTTGGGTATGTTGTTTCATGTTATCAGGAGGAATCTTTTCCTGGTAGGGTCAGTGCCAATTTATGTTCTTATGTCACAAACTGGCCTGCCAAAAATTTGGAAAAGTGAAAAAAATGAATATTTGTGAATTTTATCTGTCTGCATTATGTCCGTTGTGGTTTTGGAGGACAAAATATTATGATAATGCTGTTTGATTGAATAGTAATATTGAGATGTGACTTTCGGAAATTAACCTCAATCTATTTTGCCTTCTGACTTTTAGCATTATGACCATGAAAATCCTGTCAAACAAAAACTTAAATCAGTTTAGCCTCACATTTAGCCTAATTAGCAGAAAGCCACGTGGACACAGTTAATATTATTAGCAGTAAGCCGTGTGAGGACACAGTTAATATTATTAGCAGTTAGCCACGTGATGACACAGTTAATATTATTAGCAGTAAGCCGTGTGAGGACACAGTTAATATTATTAGCAGTAAGCCACGTGATGACACAGTTAATATTATTAGCAGTAAGCCGTGTGAGGACACAGTTAATATTATTAGCAGTAAGCCGTGTGAGGACACAGTTAATATTATTAGCAGTAAGCCGTGTGAGGACACAGTTAATATTATTAGCAGTAAGCCATGTGAGGACACAGTTAATATTATTAGCGGTTAGCCGTGTGAGGACACAGTGAATATTATTAGCAGTAAGCCACGTGATGACACAGTTAATATTATTAGCAGTAAGCCACGTGAGGACATAGTTAATATTATTAGCAGTAAGCCGTGTGAGGACACAGTTAATATTATTAGCAGTAAGCCACGTGAGGACACAGTTAATATTATTAGCAGTAAGCCATGTCAGGAAACAGTTAATATTATTAGCAGTAAGCCGTGTGAGGACACAGTTAATATTATTAGCAGAAAGCCACGTGGACACAGTTAATATTATTAGCAGTAAGCCATGTCAGGAAACAGTTAATATTATTAGCAGTAAGCCACGTGAGGACACAGTTAATATTATTAGCAGTAAGCCATGTCAGGACACAGTTAATATTATTAGCAGTAAGCCACGTGGACACAGTTAATATTATTAGCAGTAAGCCATGTCAGGACACAGTTAATGTTATTAGCAGTAAGCCACGTGAGGACACAGTTAATATTATTAGCAGTAAGCCACGTGAGGACACAGTTAATATTATTAGCAGTAAGCCACGTGGACACAGTTAATATTATTAGCAGTAAGCCACGTGAGGACACAGTTAATATTATTAGCAGTAAGCCACGTGAGGACACAGTTAATATTATTAGCAGTAAGCCACGTGGACACAGTTAATATTATTAGCAGTAAGCCATGTCAGGACACAGTTAATATTATTAGCAGTAAGCCATGTCAGGACACAGTTAATATTATTAGCAGTAAGCCACGTGATGACACAGTTAATATTATTAGCAGTAAGCCATGTCAGGAAACAGTTAATATTATTAGCAGTAAGCCGTGTGAGGACACAGTTAATATTATTAGCAGTAAGCCACGTGAGGACACAGTTAATATTATTAGCAGTAAGCCATCTCAGGACACCTGTTTAGTTGTAGATGTTAATAACAGAAATAATGAGAATGCTGATGAAGCAACAGCTGCATTGGTACCAGTACTGGTCTGATGATCATGATGGTGATACTGATACTACGTTGTCACTTTTAGGATCTCACATTACTGGTGATTCTGTTATAGAGCTGCTGTGGGCAGTCTTTGCTGCCTTATTCTCATGTGGGGAGCTTCTGGATTCTACATAGGAGTCTCAATGGTAAGGAGCATTTTAAGGAGTTTGAAGTAAGATAAGGCCTGTGTTAAAATATTGATTTTTTTAAACTTGTCCTGCATTACTCCTTAATGCATCTATTGCTTACTTTATGAAAGAATGAAGCTGTGCAAGGTCTGGGCTGAAGAAAAAAGTTGTTCCAATCAAGTTTGAAGCCCAACCCTAACACAGCTTGACACATGACCAAACGGAAGTGATGAGGTCACAGGATCTTCATATTCTGCATGTTGTGTCTACTACTACTGGTCCTCCACTTTTGGGGCATCTCTTCCAAGTGCTCATCTAGATCTTTTCGATCTAAGCAGAGCTCCGGAAATAGCTCACCTGATCATCAGAATGTTCCATAGCCGAGGGGGGGCACGGGTGGCCCAGTCGCCTAAGGCGCCGCGATTAGCTGTGCAGAGTCGCATCCCTTGGGCCAGTTGAGAGCGGTAGCACCAGCCCCATAGTCGACAGAAAGGACACCATTTGGTCCCACCCTACGTCTAGACCGCCTGATCCCTTGCTCAGGAATATAGTCAGGACTTTGGATGAGATACCTCGCATTGTAAAGTTATAGAGTTGTAATTATACGCCACGTGTACGGTACATTTGAATTCAAATGGCCGTAATGGCGTCCATATTGTAGTTCCACGGACTGATACATGTAACACCAAGGCCATTAAAAACGGCTTGGGGTTTAGTTATATCATACAGCATTGGACTACAGTTTTTTCCTTTACATAAACCCAAGGTGGTACGTTAATTTATAGCTACACTTACCTTTTTTACGGGTTTTACAACTTAGCACGTAAGAGGCACCTTTGGTGTTATAATTATACTACGACATTGGCTATTAGTATCGCGTTACAAATCGCATTCTACATTACGCCTTTGCTTCTAGTTTCACAAATTATGCATGTATCTTTCCGATCTTTATATCACACTGATACACTTTAATTCCCTTCCCACCCACCTCAGAAATTACGGTCTTCTTTAAAGACCTTCAAACTGTGTACGGGTTGTTCAGGTACCATTCCCCCCCAAGACCGGCACGAAAGCTGCCTGAAATGTCTGGCGGAGGACGGGCATAACGATGGGTCATGCCCGATATGCATTACCTTTACCCCCCGGGCCCAAAAGAAGAGACAAGTTGACTTGCTTCACTTTAAAGGTCTCTTAAAGGCGGGGGTAGATATCAGATCTGCTAAGACCACCACCACCACCACCACCACCCCCCCCCCCCAACACCCACCACCACCCAACACACCCCGGCTGGGAATCGAGAGAGGAGGAGTGGATGGAGGAGGGGGGGGAGGACTCAGACCTTGGGGACGTTTTCCTTCGCTTCCTTGTTGAGGCACGTGCGGGACAGGATTGTCCAGGTAGTGCCTCAGGTGGCTGCGCCCATGCCAGAGTCGGATCTGACTGGGTTCCGCCTTCTGGGGGACGCTTTTGCTCCTAGCAAGGCGCCCCAGGTGCGACTCCGTGTTCTATCCTCCCTGGTGCATGAAGTCATTAACCCTCTGTTGTCGGGTGCCCGCAGGAAGTTCGACCTGCCCGAACTTATTAAGCCGTACCCGCTGGTGACTTTGAGGTACCTGTGGTGGATGAATGCATTTGGACTTCCGTTACCCTGGGGGGGTCTTCGACCCCCAACTTGACTAAGGTCAAGCAGGGCCGGCGGTTGCCCCCCTTTCCCGCGTGCAGTGCAGAGTTGAAGGCTGCTTACATATGCTTCGAGGAGCAATATCGTAATGCATGCCAACAGCTCCGTGTGTCCGTACACTCCGCGTATCTGTCTGCTGTACAGAGGGAGTTAGCGGGAGAGGGGCCGGCCGACTCTTCGGAGTTGGCCGCGAAACTTACGTAAGTTCACAGTCATCTTGCGCGGGACGCTATTCGTAGCTGTGCCTCGCAGATGATGTGCGCTGTTATGGGCATGTGCAGGCTGTGGATGTCGGTATCTAAATACTCGACTTCCACACGCAAAGACCTCCTTGCTTTGCCGTATAAGATGGGTGCCACCCTCTTCCCTGGGGCTCAGCAGGTTGTCCAAGAGGCCGCTCAATTGTATGCTTCCATCTTAGGCCTTGTTGGAGGTACTAAGCGTTAAACCGCATAAGCGGACCTCTCCACTTGACTCCTCCTACACTGACGTGCCGGGTCAGAAGTCCACACCTGCTTGGAAGCAGCCGCTTCCTTCAGGTAAGGGCGCCGGGAGGAGCAAGAGAGGCAGGGGCCGGGGCAAGGCACCTGGTCGAGGCGCCCATTAGCGCCCGAAGAGCCCCCCGGTGGACCCACAGTCGCCAGTTCTCGAACTGCCGACAGCCAGGGTCCACTGCCTCAAGCCGGATGTCCCCGTAGGCGGCCGAAGGAATGGGAGACAGTTACGTCCAATTCCTGGACCCTGTCCACTCTAAGGAATGGCCATTTGCCTCGGTGGAAACATCATCTGCCCCCCTTCTCCGGGATAAAGCACACTCCGGTGCCTGCTACCCGAGAGAAGGCGGAATTCCTCCGTGCCGAGGTCGACGCACTTCTTATGAAAGCTGCGATCGAACCGGTTCCCGTGGGACAGGACGGAGGGTTCAGGCCTATTCTCAATCTGAGAAGGCTGAACAAACTTATAGAGGTACCGTCCTTCAGGATGGAGACACTGCGCTCAGTGGTCTCAGGTGTCAAGACAGGAGAATGGCTAACGTCAATAGACCTAAAAGACACCTATCTCCACGTACCCATACACCCCGAGTTCAAGAAATACCTGAGGCTTTCTTTCGACGGGAGGTGTTATCAGTTCAGGGTTCTACCATTCGGGATCTCCACGGCCCCGAGGGTGTTCACCAAGCTGATGTTGATTCCTGCCAAAGTGGCCAGGTCGAAAGGTCGGTTCTGCCATCCGTACCACGACGACTGGTTACTAAGAGCTCTATCACAATCCCTGAGTCAGATAGCTACACAAGATGTGATAGACATTCTGATCACTCTAGGGTGGATAGTCAATCTCAAGAAGTCAGATCTGGGCCTTTTTCAGAATCTAGTCTTCCTTGGGGCGAATTTTAACACGGTGAGCGGACTTGTATCTCAGTCACAAGATCGCATTGCCAAGGTCAGAAGTGTTACTTCCCAGTTCCTTCTGTCCGCAAGTCACACTGCTCGTACATGGCTCCAGTTACTGGGGGGCGCGCTAGAGAATGAGACCCATTCAACAAGCACTCCGTCGACTTTGGGCGAACTCGGAAGATCTCGAGACTGTGCTCGAGACTCGGCAGTGGCTCATTACACACCTTCAGTGGTGGACTGAGGTCGGGAATCTGTCCTGGGGGCTCCCGCTCGACACTCCCGTTCCGTCTCTCACAGTTCAAACAGACATGTCACTCTCCGGCTGGGGAGGCGTTCTGAACGATTACACTTCCTCGGGACTATGGTCCCAGCAGGAGATCAAACTGCATATCAATGTGCTAGAACTGAGAGCGGTCAGGTTGGTGTTCCAACGCTTCCTGGATCTGCTTCGTGGCCAAGTGGTTCGTCTAGAGATGGACAACCAAACGGCGATGACTTACATCCGGAAGCAGGGGGGAACAGTATCACCGTCGCTTCTCCAAGAGACGGGGCAGTTCCTACTATGGTGCGACTCTCACGATATCAGGGTGCTACCTGTTTATCTCCCGGGGGTGGACAACGTCCGTGCGGACGAGTGGAGGCTCAACCCGGGGATATTTGGGATTATCTCCCTGTTATACGAGTCGTTCCAGGTGGATCTGTTTGCGTCTGGGGTGAATCACCAGACACCAACGTTCTGCTCCTGAGGTTGGTGGCACCGGACGCCTTCCAGCTAGATTGGACGGACAGAGTTCTGTGGGCATTCCCCCCAGTTCCTCTGATTTCCAAGGTCCTGTCGCAGCTAGCCACTCAGCCTGAGCGACTACTTGTGCTCCTGGCACCTCTTTGGTCGGCGCAGAGTTGGTTTCCAGTAATACTCAGGTTTCTGGCTCAGCCTCCTGTTCTATTACCTTTACGACCGGACCTCCTATCCCAGAACGGGGCACTCCACCTGAATCCCAGGATTCAGTGGGTGGCTTGGCCACTGTCTGGAATCGCCTCCAGAGAGCGGTATTCCTGCACGAGTTGCAGACACAATACTGGCTTCGCGGAGGGATTCGACAAACGTTCAGTACGAGGATAGATGGGCCTGCTATGTGCGCTGGTGTGTCGATGGAGGGATTGCAGATCCCTTTTCTGCAGATCTCGAAGCCGTGCTTGAGTTCCTCCAGTCGCGACTAGATGACGGCCTGGCCGCATCGACGGTACTTTCGGGATCTGTCGTCTCTCTCTCTTCAGCTGTTGAGCTGGAGGACGGCGTTCCTTGTGGCGGTAACGTCCGGCAGATGGGTAGGCGACATTCATGCAATGTCAGCTGATCCCGAACTAACTGTCTTCCATAATAATTATTGTATTTGCACACGCACTCCTTCGATCCTCGGGGACCCTCTGGCCTAGCTCAGCGCAGGTTATAGTCTCTCGTTATCTACGCCCCTACATCACTTGTTAAAAAAAGTGTGGGGGGGCGGGTGTTTTGAGTTCTCAACTTATGACAAGCCGCAAAAACAGGCTTTATCATAATATATGGTCGACCACTCCCTGTCTCTAGCCCCCGCCTTTCGATGGTGGTGCCTCACGATAAGGTTGGTTCCATTTATTGAACTCTATATTTTATTCTGTATGAATAATCAAATACGATGTATTTATTTACGCCTGTTGCTGACGGATGCCACTTCCTATATTATCTTTAGGAGTCTATCTTGATGCAATAGGTGCCCCAAGGAGGATTTAATCTGCAAGAGAATTTGACAAACCTGTAGAGGTTATGAATTCTCTGATGAAATCCTCCTTTGGGCACGGCCACCCACCTCCCCACATTCCGTCAGCATTTGACATATGGAAAGTGATTTGGGTGAGAGTTGCTCCCCCTGGCTTGACGCGCCGTGGAGGGTGAGGCCCCGTAAGGGTGGTCGTATATCATACAAAAACAATATTTTTGGGTAGTAACATTTTTTATTAAGGAAAATGGTTACAACTATGTCATGTAGATTTTCTTGAGCAAGGAAAATGCAATAGGTGCCCCAAGGAGGATTTCATCAGAGAATTCATAACCTCTACAGGTTTGTAAAAATTTCTTTTACTTTTTTTTACCTGGACACCCTCAACTCGTTTTCCTTCCATGGACAGGATTGAGCGAGTAGTACTGATCTGCTATATGGTTTCCTCGACCTTTGTGTTATGAGGGTTTATCTATATTGAGGACTACATCTGAAGGTATGCCCTACATCGTACCATCTGATACAGATGCATTAAGGAGTAATGCAGGATAAGTTAAAAAAAATATGTAAAATCTTAATATTTTTTACCTTTGTATTATTTATCCTGCATTACTACATCTAAGGGCAGACCTGCCTACCCACTACAATTTCAGATGAAATTATGTGTGACAAGCAGTAATATGAAGATCCTGTGACGTCACCACTTCCTTTTGGTCACATGGCGGCTATGTAGGGTTTTGGCTTCAGACGTGATTGGAACAAAATGTTTTGCTTAAGCCCAGACCTTCATTTCTGTCATAAGGTATGCAGTAGATGCATTAAGGAGCAATGCTGGATGAGTATACAAATGTAAAATACATTTAGATTTTGCTAATTTTCTTTTTCTCTTGTTTGTGGTCACTGGTGGCAAAAACAATTTCAAGCCATGTTGACAGTACTATTCTCTACCAAAACAGAACTCAACTCGAATACACTATTTGATTAGTTCTGCTTTAGGATGTTGATTTTGTGCCGTTTTTGTGTGAAATTTCCTCGACTAACACAAGGTTGTGTTATCAACCACTTTTTGTTTAACGTCCTTCACTGGTTAATGTAGGCTTGTTCTAATGTTGTGCAATCAGAGTTAACATATAGCTTAGTCATAGGTGGTAAGGAAATGCTAGTCTAAGTTGTCCTGGGTTATTGCAAAACTATTACATTTGAAAATCGATACAGAATTAAAACTTGAATAGGTATCGTATAAGTTTGTGATGCTTGAATATATTGGTGAATCAGAAGACCCCTGGTACGCTGTTCATCAACTGCTCTTACCTGTTTTAGGCCACTGGAGATCTGTGTTCTGATCCTGACTTATTTGTCAGGAGGACGGTATCTGGCACTGTCAAGAAAGGTAAGTACACATTGTCTATGAATAGGATAATGTGTAAGGAAATGTATTCTTGATGAGTGATATCATTAGTCAAACAGTTTCTGCATAATGGTCCTAATTAGATCATTCTGGAGTTGTAAATCTCTGTGCTCATGGCCACAATTACAGGGTCCTTCTCATGTCATTTTGTCTTTTCATAATGCATCTCTTTTAATACAGGGACAAAAACGTTTAGGCCTCAAATCTTTTTATATGTTGTTTCTGTTGGGTTTCTTAACCCTGCAGGAGTCTGGAGCAACCAAGTTGTCTGGCATGGCAGGTTGCTGTGCAGAGTTGTTGCCCTTAGGTGTACTGGGTTTGATGTAATGGTTTCGAACCCCAGATTTGTCATGATTATGGTCTATGGTTTGTCAGCACAACACCAGTCTATGGCCCTGCAAATTGCTGAGCAGTGGGCCTGAGAATCGATCCCTGGTAAACCCTGGTTATGTTTCTGGCTTAGACACACCATATCTGTGCTTGTGGGTTTCACCAAAGTGGTAACCACCTGCATGACTTGGATTGGTCTTCCACCCTGATGATAACTGAGATACTGTTCATCCCCACACTCCTGCTCACACTTGTTCCAGGGTTTAGGGGGGGCACGGGTGGCCACGGGTGGCCCAGTCGTCTAAGGCGCCGCAATTCGCTTTCGAGAGTTGGACCCCTTGGGCACGCCAGAAACCTTTGATTGTGGGTTCGAATCTTAGTTCGCCCCAATTATATTTCTAGGTTTGTCAGCACCATACCTGTGCTCGTGGGTTGCACAGAAGTGGTAAACACCTGAGACCTGCATCACTTCGGGCTTTCCTCCCACATTAAGCTGACACACCGCGATATAACTGGAATACTGTTAAAAGCGGTGTTAAACCTACCTCACTCACTCACACTCCAGGGTTTAGTAGATGGCAAGGGCAGATAACTCAACTTCAGCTGGATAACATAAGACATGTATTCTTATGACAAGCAAACTTAATACTTCATTCTTGATACATACACTCTCAAGTTGAAACCACATATTGGGAAATAACATCAAGAATTAAACATACAGATCATATCAGCTTTTCATAATAATTTAATAATCAAATAATAATAATTTCATTTAATAATTGTGTCTATCTTCCTTTTTAGATGTGCTTGAAGCTTACTTGACATGTACAGATAATAACAAGCCATTCACAGAGGTAGGGAATGTTTAATTCTGCATCTTTCAATGAAACTGTATTTGGTTAATAATGTTAATAATTCAGTATTTATGCCATATGTAAAACATTGATTCAGAAATCTATTTTTTTGTACCCTAGAGCATAGTTAAAGCCAATGAAGCGGTGGCCCAGGCCACATCAGCTCTCAACAAGACGGTCGCTCTTGCCAAGCCATACAACATCTCAGATAAGGTAATATCACTTTATTTTTTTTACATTGAGTCAGTTTCCATTTCCCTGTGTCTCAGGCTCCCAGTTTGGTATGCAGAGTAGAGCCCCTTAGATGTGCCAGGATCTGCTGATTATGATCCTTGGTTTAGTGGCATGAGGTTGTGCTCATTGGTTTTCACCAATGTAGTAAATTTCTACGATCTTAAGCACTTTGACCCTTGGATATGCTGACGAGCTGATATGAAATACTGTTCAACAAGTTACACGTGGTATTAAGCCTTGCTCACTCGCACGAGCACACATACACTCACACTCACTCTGTCACAACCTGGAAAGTGAATAATGTTCCACTGGTTGATAATTTCTATTCTAAATATCCTTGCTAGATTCGCCAACCAGTTGCCTTCCTGCGGCGGGAGCTGAAGTATGTTGTGAGTAACCTGACGGCACTGAATGATGTCGTCAACTGTGAGCACATCCACAACAACTATGTGAAATCTGTCAAAGGCATCTGTGACAAAACAATGTAAGTACCGACACAATGTCTCCCACTCTCACGCTCACAACCAACACACTTCCAGGTCCAGACTGATGATAGATGACTGTGACGTAGCGGAGTCATGCTGATTGATGACAGATGACTGTGATGTAGCGGAGTCATGCTGATTGATGACAGATGACTGTGGTGTAGCGGAGTCATGCTGATTGATGACAGATGACTGTGGTGTAGCGGAGTCATGCTGATTGATGACAGATGACTGTGATGTAGGGGAGTCATGCTGATTGATGACAGATGACTGTGATGTAGGGGAGTCATGCTGATTGATGACAGATGACTGTGATGTAGCGGAGTCATGCTGATTGATGACAGATGACTGTGATGTAGGGGAGTCATGCTGATTGATGACAGATGACTGTGATGTAGCGGAGTCATGCTGATTGATGACAGATGACTGTGATGTAGCGGAGTCATGCTGATTGATGACAGATGACTGTGATGTAGCGGAGTCATGCTGATTGATGACAGATGACTGTGATGTAGCGGAGTCATGCTGATTGATGACAGATGACTGTGATGTAGGGGAGTCATGCTGATTGATGACAGATGACTGTGGTGTAGCGGAGTCATGCTGATTGATGACAGATGACTGTGATGTAGCGGAGTCATGCTGATTGATGACAGATGACTGTGGTGTAGCGGAGTCATGCTGATTGATGACAGATGACTGTGATGTAGCGGAGTCATGCTGATTGATGACAGATGACTGTGATGTAGCGGAGTCATGCTGATTGATGACAGATGACTGTGATGTAGCGGAGTCATGCTGATTGATGACAGATGACTGTGACGTAGCGGAGTCATGCTGATTGATGACAGATGACTGTGATGTAGGGGAGTCATGCTGATTGATGACAGATGACTGTGACGTAGCGGAGTCATGCTGATTGATGACAGATGACTGTGATGTAGGGGAGTCATGCTGATTGATGACAGATGACTGTGATGTAGCGGAGTCATGCTGATTGATGACAGATGACTGTGGTGTAGCGGAGTCATGCTGATTGATGACAGATGACTGTGATGTAGGGGAGTCATGCTGATTGATGACAGATGACTGTGGTGTAGCGGAGTCATGCTGATTGATGACAGATGACTGTGATGTAGCGGAGTCATGCTGATTGATGACAGATGACTGTGGTGTAGCAGAGTCATGCTGATTGATGACAGATGACTGTGATGTAGCGGAGTCATGCTGATTGATGACAGATGACTGTGGTGTAGCGGAGTCATGCTGATTGATGACAGATGACTGTGATGTAGCGGAGTCATGCTGATTGATGACAGATGACTGTGATGTAGCGGAGTCATGCTGATTGATGACAGATGACTGTGATGTAGGGGAGTCATGCTGATTGATGACAGATGACTGTGATGTAGCGGAGTCATGCTGATTGATGACAGATGACTGTGATGTAGCGGAGTCATGCTGATTGATGACAGATGACTGTGACGTAGCGGAGTCATGCTGATTGATGACAGATGACTGTGATGTAGGGGAGTCATGCTGATTGATGACAGATGACTGTGGTGTAGCGGAGTCATGCTGATTGATGACAGATGACTGTGATGTAGCGGAGTCATGCTGATTGATGACAGATGACTGTGACGTAGCGGAGTCATGCTGATTGATGACAGATGACTGTGATGTAGGGGAGTCATGCTGATTGATGACAGATGACTGTGATGTAGCGGAGTCATGCTGATTGATGATAGATGACTGTGATGTAGCGGAGTCATGCTGATTGATGACAGATGACTGTGATGTAGCGGAGTCATGCTGATTGATGACAGATGACTGTGATGTAGCGGAGTCATGCTGATTGATGACAGATGACTGTGATGTAGGGGAGTCATGCTGATTGATGACAGATGACTGTGATGTAGCGGAGTCATGCTGATTGATGACAGATGACTGTGACGTAGCGGAGTCATGCTGATTGATGACAGATGACTGTGGTGTAGCGGAGTCATGCTGATTGATGACAGATGACTGTGATGTAGGGGAGTCATGCTGATTGATGACAGATGACTGTGATGTAGCGGAGTCATGCTGATTGATGACAGATGACTGTGGTGTAGCGGAGTCATGCTGATTGATGACAGATGACTGTGGTGTAGCGGAGTCATGCTGATTGATGACAGATGACTGTGATGTAGCGGAGTCATGCTGATTGATGACAGATGACTGTGACTTGGCGGAGTCATGCTGATTGATGACAGATGACTGTGATGTAGCGGAGTCATGCTGATTGATGACAGATGACTGTGGTGTAGCGGAGTCATGCGGATTGATGACAGATGACTGTGATGTAGGGGAGTCATGCTGATTGATGACAGATGACTGTGATGTAGCGGAGTCATGCTGATTGATGACAGATGACTGTGGTGTAGCGGAGTCATGCTGATTGATGACAGATGACTGTGATGTAGGGGAGTCATGCTGATTGATGACAGATGACTGTGGTGTAGCGGAGTCATGCTGATTGATGAGAGATGACTGTGATGTAGCGGAGTCATGCTGATTGATGACAGATGACTGTGATGTAGCGGAGTCATGCTGATTGATGACAGATGACTGTGATGTAGCGGAGTCATGCTGATTGATGACAGATGACTGTGACGTAGCGGAGTCATGCTGATTGATGACAGATGACTGTGATGTAGGGGAGTCATGCTGATTGATGACAGATGACTGTGACGTAGCGGAGTCATGCTGATTGATGAGAGATGACTGTGATGTAGCGGAGTCATGCTGATTGATGACAGATGACTGTGGTGTAGCGGAGTCATGCTGATTGATGAGAGATGACTGTGATGTAGCGGAGTCATGCTGATTGATGACAGATGACTGTGGTGTAGCGGAGTCATGCTGATTGATGACAGATGACTGTGATGTAGCGGAGTCATGCTGATTGATGACAGATGACTGTGACGTAGCGGAGTCATGCTGATTGATGACAGATGACTGTGATGTAGGGGAGTCATGCTGATTGATGACAGATGACTGTGACGTAGCGGAGTCATGCTGATTGATGACAGATGACTGTGATGTAGCGGAGTCATGCTGATTGATGACAGATGACTGTGATGTAGCGGAGTCATGCTGATTGATGACAGATGACTGTGGTGTAGCGGAGTCATGCTGATTGATGACAGATGACTGTGATGTAGCGGAGTCATGCTGATTGATGACAGATGACTGTGATGTAGGGGAGTCATGCTGATTGATGACAGATGACTGTGATGTAGCGGAGTCATGCTGATTGATGACAGATGACTGTGACGTAGCGGAGTCATGCTGATTGATGACAGATGACTGTGATGTAGCGGAGTCATGCTGATTGATGACAGATGACTGTGACGTAGCGGAGTCATGCTGATTGATGACAGATGACTGTGATGTAGGGGAGTCATGCTGATTGATGACAGATGACTGTGACGTAGCGGAGTCATGCTGATTGATGACAGATGACTGTGATGTAGCGGAGTCATGCTGATTGATGACAGATGACTGTGATGTAGCGGAGTCATGCTGATTGATGACAGATGACTGTGATGTAGCGGAGTCATGCTGATTGATGACAGATGACTGTGATGTAGCGGAGTCATGCTGATTGATGACAGATGACTGTGGTGTAGCGGAGTCATGCTGATTGATGACAGATGACTGTGATGTAGGGGAGTCATGCTGATTGATGACAGATGACTGTGGTGTAGCGGAGTCATGCTGATTGATGACAGATGACTGTGATGTAGCGGAGTCATGCTGATTGATGACAGATGACTGTGGTGTAGCGGAGTCATGCTGATTGATGACAGATGACTGTGATGTAGCGGAGTCATGCTGATTGATGACAGATGACTGTGATGTAGGGGAGTCATGCTGATTGATGACAGATGACTGTGATGTAGCGGAGTCATGCTGATTGATGACAGATGACTGTGACGTAGCGGAGTCATGCTGATTGATGACAGATGACTGTGATGTAGCGGAGTCATGCTGATTGATGACAGATGACTCTGACGTAGCGGAGTCATGCTGATTGATGATAGATGACTGTGACGTAGCGGAGTCATGCTGATTGATGATAGATGACTGTGACGTAGCGGAGTCATGCTGATTGATGATAGATGACTGTGACGTAGCGGAGTCATGCTGATTGATGACAGATGACTGTGGTGTAGCGGAGTCATGCTGATTGATGACAGATGACTGTGATGTAGGGGAGTCATGCTGATTGATGACAGATGACTGTGATGTAGCGGAGTCATGCTGATTGATGACAGATGACTGTGATGTAGCAGAGTCATGCTGATTGATGACAGATGACTGTGACGTAGCGGAGTCATGCTGATTGATGACAGATGACTGTGACGTAGCGGAGTCATGCTGATTGATGACAGATGACTGTGATGTAGGGGAGTCATGCGGATTGATGACAGATGACTGTGATGTAGCGGAGTCATGCGGATTGATGACAGATGACTGTGATGTAGGGGAGTCATGCTGATTGATGACAGATGACTGTGATGTAGCGGAGTCATGCTGATTGATGACAGATGACTGTGATGTAGCGGAGTCATGCTGATTGATGACAGATGACTGTGATGTAGGGGAGTCATGCAGATTGATGACAGATGACTGTGATGTAGCGGAGTCATGCTGATTGATGACAGATGACTGTGGTGTAGCGGAGTCATGCTGATTGATGACAGATGACTGTGATGTAGGGGAGTCATGCGGATTGATGACAGATGACTGTGGTGTAGCGGAGTCATGCTGATTGATGACAGATGACTGTGATGTAGCGGAGTCATGCTGATTGATGACAGATGACTGTGGTGTAGCGGAGTCATGCTGATTGATGACAGATGACTGTGATGTAGCGGAGTCATGCTGATTGATGACAGATGACTGTGACGTAGCGGAGTCATGCTGATTGATGACAGATGACTGTGATGTA